CCCCAGAGCAAGGGGGACTTGATTAAACACACAGACACACACACACCTGTGAACATGCTGGGACTGGGACTGACACACACACACACACACACACACACACACACACACACACACACACACACACACACACACACACACACACACACACACACACACACACACACACACCACTTTAAAAGACCAACAGTCACAGAGGCACACAGCAGGAGAGGGGCTCTTTGATGAGCCAAGACTAGAGGTTGATGAGCAGGGGCACTGCAGCCTGATTCAGCTAGCTTGGGGTCACCGGGGAGTGTGTGTGAGTGTTTGTGTGTGCATGTTCATTAGTCACATTGTGTGGTATCATTACACTAGTGACTCATTTGGTCCACACCTCTCAACATGGGTCCTTTTACACATGCAGTGACTAAAAGAACATTAAAAAAATATATACATGCAAATCAAATTTGACTTATTTTTGTCCGATAAACCAATTTCTTCTCGCAAAAATACATTTATATCATCAGATCTAATTCATCCTAAAGCTTGATAATGAAATCCTTGCAGCAGCGAAGATCAAAACAGAGATTAATGTGCTGTTCGGCTTTCTAGCCCTGCTGTCATGTCATCTGTTATTCTCAGACAAGAGCTTTGTGGTAATGCGGTTAGACCTCACAACAATGCTTAATCACAACAAACCACATTAGGCCAAAGGTAATTGTGTTTGCTTGGTATATGCGTGGGCCAATCTGTTTCGCTGCTGCCAATGAAGAAGGGAATGGACAAATGGGGAAGGGGTGCCTTCGACTTTAGGGCGGGGAGGGGGGCACAACCAAAATAGTCTTGTTTACCTCTAATGTCTGGCTCCATCTTATCGAGTTACAAAGCTGCTGCTGCTGCAACTCAGATTGGCCTCTGATCGATCAGAGCTCTGATGGCGAGAGGCAGCATGACTGACAGTCCGACAAGGATCTCAGACGGGAGCTGAGTAATGCTTGTCATGCCATTTTCCCGGACACACCTGAGGTTCAGATTCTCGTCTAGCAGAGTGAAAAACAGAGCTGATTTTATCTGCATTATGGTAAACTGGACATTTTCCAAATCAGCCGGGACATCAAAAGGGCAATAAATGTCACATTTGAATTTAAAAGGGATTTGAAATTCATATGAAATGAGAAAGTGTACTCATCGTTGAGAAAAACTCATTCTTTTATTATTCGGCTTGCCACCAAGCAACTTAAAAAGTGATAGAATATGAATGTAACATAGTGAGAGTATCTTATATTCAACAAGCATTTGCTTTCACACCCTCACTATTACTAACGTCAATAGAAATTCTCTCTGTTGAATACAACAGTTAGGCACCTGATACAATCATCCCACACAAGCCTGCCAAACCTTTAATTATCAGCTCCAGTGATAGAACTTCAAAATAGCATAGATTTACTGTACAGGTATGATACTACTGAAGGTGCTGAAAATGATCCAGTCCATATGAATCCCACACATCATCGGTTTACAGAAGAGTCTGTTTTTTGGTCAGAGAGGATGCAGGCAGGTCTAAAGACCCAGATGTGAGCAGGAGCAGGTCACATGGGGTAGAACTGCGAGGCGGCCTCAGACGACTGGATCTCCACCTGAGCCATCTTGAACTGGGTGCACTGTAGCCATTTGCGCAGGGCAATCGGGGGGGCACCAGATGTGGGGCCTAGCAGACACTGATGATTCACACGGTTCTGGATGGCCTGGAGACGTAACTGCAGCCCCGCAGAGAGATGCTGATGAACAAGAAAAGGTAAGACGAGTCTGTAATCCTCTTAAGAGTCAATGGTTACCTGCATATTATAAATCTGTATCAACATCTTAAAAGCTTTACCTTAAGGTTTGACTGAATCATGGGTAGCCACATAGGAATTAGCTATAGGAAGAAATGAGGATGGATAAGTATTAGATTAGTGTTAAGGTGGTTATATATGAACCATTTAGAGAGATACTAGAGTCATATCAAACCTTGACAAAGATGGTTGAGTTGCACTCCTGCAGCGCTTCCATCAAACTAATGACATGAAGACACACCATTTCTACCATCTGAGAGAAAAAAACAAAAACAATCAAACTGTGATTTCCTCTATCATAGTTACAGTTTTCACATCATTTATGAAACAGAAATCATTCCAGACATTGTAATTAACAGGCAGAACACTCACTACTTTATTGTGGGCCATGAGCTGCAGGATGCTGGGTGTTACCCGACTCCAGAACTCCAGGCCAGTGAGGATGGCGCTGGAGGAAAACTCGGTCTGGTTCTGGTTCTGCAGGGACGGAGCAGCGGCCGCCTGCTCGCAGTAGATGGTCCACAGTTGGGCGAACATGAAGGCGTGGAACAGAGAGCACATGTGCAGCACCGACGTCTGGGGGCAGAGATCAAGAACGATGTGAGGTGGTTATATAGATCATATTAACACAACCTGGGTGGCGCCATTAGATAGATTTGTTTTCTGTCTGACCTTTGACTGTTCTGGGAAACCGATGAGGATGATGATAAGATGATCTGCAATGTGGGAGCCAGCATCCAGAGGGATGGGCATGCAGGAGGTGGAGCCCTGGTGCAGGGCGCAGTGTGTCAGGGAGCCCAGAAGCAGCCAGGACAGCTGACGGATGTGGGACACACACTCAATGAATTCTTTGGGCCTGCAGGGAAAAAAAGGTTTCAATATTCTACAGAATTGTATTTTATTTCTTCATAGGATTATACTAAACATCTGTTAGTTTAACATTTGTGTTGGTTTACGAAAGGTACATAAAACAGATTTGGTTGTATCCGCAGTGAAGATCATTTTCAAGACCATGAAACCATGTTTGACCATCTGCTTTCACACCAATACACTTTCAACATTTCTTACAACCTTGCTGTATATATCACCACAGATAGATGAGGCAATATGTTTTAATGTAATTCGGGACTGTCTCTTTAAGACATTACTAAACCCATCTGCTGTTTTCTCATTTTTACCCTTGTTGCATGGTGGATGGCGGATGATAAAGCCAAGGAAGATATCGGACCACAGCTTTGTTATCACGGTGATTGCCTTTGCTGATCTCCATGGCAGCAACTTGTGCCAAGCCCACTTTCAGGTTCCCCCCGAAAGTGTCCTCATGCAGAGGCTGACAGCAAGCCTTCATATGGCTCTGCGTAACACATTTGGAAGAAGGAGAAGATAAGGCTGTGACAATAGGAAATATATAATATACATATGATAAGAACAAGACTTACTTTAAGTTTGGTTAATGTGTGCATATCTGCAATGAAGTCCAGGAGTTCACTTATGTATTGTCTCATGCATTCCATGGCTGCTGTTGTGCACTGTGGAGAACAAAAGCAGTTTATCCTTTAGGAGGAATCACAGCGGGCTCCATCTTTATTTCCTGCTGCTTAATGAGGCTGATTCCAATAGGAGACAAACACACATCGGCTAAAGTCTTACCCCCGGCAGCGTTAAGATCATGTGCTTTTGGATGATGGTGGATTCTGCTAGCCGTGTACC